GCCACCCGGACACCACACACAGGCTGGCCTCTGGGCTTGCGCACTCTGAGGAGACCCAGATAGGCTGAGGCACAGTGTGGAATGTGGCCATCCCACGGGGGACTCTCCCAGCCCGTGGGCAGCACAGGGCCACTCACAGGCAGCTTGACTGAGCATCAAATACCAGGAAACCAGGTGAGAGCAAGTACCTGGCAAAATGCATGGTATAATTTAAGCAAAAAAAAAAAAAATGTAATGAATGATTATGTGAAAGAAAAGAGAGCACCCTTAATCCACCCTAACTGCTTCCTGAAAGCCAGCTCAGGGGCCAACGGGGGAGCTGTGCCTGCTGCAAACCACAGAGAGAAGCGAGCAGAGGGAGCCACGGAGGCCACACAGAGGGGACATGGGAAAGGGACCAGGAGCGGTCATGCTGAGACCCACAGGAAATAGCCGGTGTCATCTGATGCTCCAAGACCCACAGGGTGACAGACTGTCCCCAGCTGGGCGAGAGAAAGAGACAACGCTCAGGAAGAAGAGAAGGCTGAAGAGGCCACCTCACCAGCTGAGATGACACCCAGCCTGGAGGGCAAGCGGCCGGCCCCCACCTCCTCACTGGAGCTGGGGCTGGAGTCGAGACCCCACGGCTGTGGCCCAGCGCTCTCCGGCTCTGCCACGTCTGACCTACCTCATCCCTTCAAATGCGCAACTTTGCCCGCCTTCCTACTCGGCAGCCATTCCCATGAGAGGAACTCCTTCCCGGTGCTGGTCGGGACAGTGGGGACCCCAGGAAGGAATTGGCTCATCCCAGTTCCTCCAGGCCAGGGGAGCAGGGCTCTGCAGGGCAGCTGAACTCCAGAGATGGCCGTCTCCAGGCCCCTGCCCACGTCCACCTCATCCCATGAAGACCCGATTCCACAGGCGCCAAGTCGTAGAGAAAGAGGGGACACTCCTGCAGCCCCGGTGCTGCCCCTCAAGGATGCCTCCTGGTGGACACCCACCGGCAGCCTCACCTCTGGGGCAGCCCTTGAGGACTCTTGGGTCTGTCCTCAAGTCCACTCCTCCTTGAGGGGACACCTCTGAGGCCCTGAGACCCTGGCTCAGCCCCAGCTGTGCTTGCTCTCGTCTCTGGGCAGCACAGCTGGTCTTCGTCACTTCATGGGTGACAATGCCAGGCACAGGCTCACAGGCGCAGTAGAGGACCAGGAGGAAGAAGGTGACTCACGTAGTCTGGCCCCTGTTCTCAGTCCCCCTGAGAGTCAGGGCTCTCGTCACGACCCCAGACAACAGAAGCAGGAGCTATGACCCAGCCAGGCCCAGGAGGCATTCGAGGCAGGGTCTGCTGGAGTCTTAGGCCAACCAGGTGGACAGAGTGGAAGGGGGCGACGTCCAGGTGAACTCCACGGCCAACCAGCTCAATGTGGCGGACACTGGTGACGGGAGCTGGGCAGGCCTAGCCATGGAAGCACTTGGTTTTGACCTCAGAGGCCTGCAGGGTGCCTCCAAGTGGACGTCTGTGTAGTGGGTAAAAGGCTCAGCGTACAGTGGGTGGGTCCCAATGGACGGCTGTGAGCTGGACATACGGTAAACCAAAAATGCATCGCTGCGGCCACCCACCACACTCGTGTGTTCAGGGCACCCGTGTCGGCCCATTTGGGCAGAGTCATCTAGCACAGCCTCTGCCCTGAGGCCTGGCTGTCTCGCGTGTCCATCCCACCCTGGACGATGTCGCCTGTGTTGGCTTTCACAGCACCACTCAGGCAAAAGACCCTAACCCGAGGACCGTCTGCATTTTTCAATAGGCCTGGGCCGTGCCTGACCCAAGGTGTGCAGACGGAGTCCCGGCTGGGAGCCACCTGGGGCAGCAGGTGGCCACAGAGTAGGCTCCAGGAACACCGGCGGCCAAAGAGGCCGGCCGAGGAGGAACGCCGGGAGAGCAAGGAGAGGAGACCACGGGCAGCTCAGCTCCCCCAGCGGAGGCTGGAGGCCCTGAGAACACCAAGCAAGTCTGAGACGGACGACAAGCTGGTGGCCCAGGACAGCGCCACACTCAGAAAATGACAAAACAAACACAGGCAGACTGCAGGGCACCCGAGCGTGGCCGCCATTGCCTTCTCTGGTTCTTCACCACAGGGACGCAGCTCGGGGAACTCCCTCAGTGTGACACAGCCAGCCAGGGACACTGCGTCCAGGTCCACAGCCAGGCCATCCATTGGTCAGCTGAGAGCCCACATGAACGTCCCAGACAAAGCCAGCTGGCTCAGTTCTCCCAGGCCTGTCCACCTCACAGAGAACACCTCCAGGAACCGGAGCCCAGCGGACGGTGCTAGGGACAGAACAGACAGAATCTCACCCGGGGCACTTTTCAATGTACCCACTATGCACTGCCCAGTGCAGGGCTCCTGTCCCCACCCACTGCAGCCCCAGCTTGTGTGGACAGCACAGGGACGTGGGTCTCCCTGATGGGCAGGGCACCCAGCTTGACCTCAGCCTCACTGCCACGAGTCCCAGGGTTCACACAGACGTTCAGGGAGCACACTCCCCACATCGGTGTTCCCTAGCTCACTGGACCTCAGGCATCCAGGCTGGTGGGGACCTGAAGGCCTCAGGAGTCTGACCCCACCTGAGGCAGAGAGTGGGGAGATGGGCTTGAGTGACAGAGAAGAGCGGGATCTGCAAGGATGCGTGGCCGGCCTCCGCACCTGGGGCCTCTTCTCAGGAGGCACACAGTGGCAGTGAGGAGGCAGGCGGGAACCTCGATGGCTGGGCCTGGCCTGAGACAGTGAGGCGACCCAGGGGACCCAGCAGGGGCAGAGGGCCTCGGTCTGGAGCCCTTGCTCCTCCTCACCCAACCAGAGGCAGAAAACGAGGCGACATCAAACATCCACACAGCCTGAGCCAAAACGTGCAGCATCCGGCCTCGCCGCCAGGCGCTCGGGGTCTGCCGTGCGGGGGGTCTGCCCGGAGCCCTGGGAGGGACCAGGATCTCAGCTCACTTCGGGGAGCTGCCCCAGGAGGGCTGGCTGGGGGCATCGTCCAGCTGTGTGCCGACGGGGTGCCCTGCCCCGGGAGCTGCCGGCCACTGTGAAGTTCCTGGAAGGACCCTTGGTCTCGTGCTGTCCTCGCTGCTCTGGAGAACTCGGTGGCGACCCCGGGCTGGCAGGGAGCTTGGTGAGTGGGCCTCGCCCCCTGGGCCCCTGTCGGGTGTTTTGAGACGAGGCACTCAGAGGAGTGGGCTTTGACACCCCGGAGCTCGAGGGGTGCAGGAAGGAGTGGCTTCTGGGGCCCAGCTGGACAGCCTCCCGGAGCACCCCCCCCCCCAGCTCTGCAGCCGCCCCTCTGGCCATCCTGGATCAGCCCTCGCGCCAGCCCCGCCCCCGCACAGTCAAGTTCAAACCTTGCTCCTCTTCCGAAGCCTCTTTCATGTGGTTTCCGTCTAATCTGAAAACACCTCCCTCCACATTGTCTCTGTACCTGTGAGCTGTTTCTTAAGTCCCATTTTGAAAAATCTGGTGCCTAGGAAAGTTCACATTGTGCACAGCTCTGGTCTACAAAGGATTCCAATCCTTTTCCCCGGGAGTGAGGGGAGCGCCGGGCCTGGGGGTGGGGGGCGGTGTGCAGCATGGACTCAAAGGCATCTTCCCCTGCCTGCCAGAAGTGGAGGACCCAGAGTGGGCAGTGGCCACCCTCTGGGCCTCTAGGTGTCAAAGCTCGGGGACAAAGGGTGCATGTCTATCGAGGGCTGGGCCAGGCACTGCATGGGTGCCCCTCATTAGGACTCCCTGAGAGGGACCTGCTCAACCTCGCTTCAGAAGAAGAGCCAGGCTCAAGGGGGCTCAGGAGACCGCATGGGCACCAGGGCTGGCCACCTGCTGGTGCCTCCCAGCAGTCAGTCCTACCCACCGTCCAGTGGCCGCCAAGCCCAGCTGCATCCCGGCTCGTCCCCGGGAGCAGCTGTGGACGCTGCGAAACCTCACACATTCCTCGGGGCAGCGGTGGGCTCCCCGTGTGGACTGGAAGGTCGGGGAGCGGGCTGCGCACAGCCACGGGCGCGTCCCGTCAGACCTGCCTCTTCTTCCTGTCAGGAGCGGTGCAGCGCCTCAGAACTTTCCCTGTGGTAGATCTAAATGATATTTAAGGTTTGACAAGTTACACTTGTGGTTTTCAAAAGAAAAAAGAAATTTTGTGAAGAACTACCTTTCTTGGCATAAAATAATTGGAAAGTACCTCGGATATCTCAATAAAACACATCAAAAGTAACTCTCTCCGGCTTGTTTTGACACGTCCACTTGTGGTTTCTGTCAACTTTAGCTAAACATCAGGTTTTCTCAGACAGAACAAACCATTAAAATATTCAACAGAAAAAGCAAATAGATATAATTCCTCTTCTGTTTGCCTATTTTCAAATAAAAGGCAATATTGAAAGGAGAGGCCAGCCCAGCTCAAAGCACATTTTTCTGATTCATACATTTGCCATAATTATTTGCATAGGATTTAAATGTCTAAGCCCTGGATCCTACCCCCCCTTTTTTTTAAAAATGCTGCATTGTAAAGCCGAAACGCGCCAAGCCAGTTTCGTATTTACAGAGGATTGTCCAGTTCTGTGGATTTGATAAATGTTAGAAGCATTGGGTTGGTTGGAGATTAGAATGTTAGAGCAGAGCATAGAACAAACATCTTCCTGGGGAGATGAAGGGAATCCACCACATCACCCCCAGATAATCTGCGCTTAATACTTCACCAGAGACCAACAGACAAACGACTTCCAGAAAGTGGACCCTGGACCCAAATAGAAACAAGGACTGGGCTCAAGCTGACCTGACAGCTGGGGACCTGGCTTTCCCCAGAGGTGGAGCAGCAAGCCACATGTCCAGAGGAACATTCTCGTTTCTAACAAAAATAAAACTTGTAATTTTGTTTAGAGACCAAAGAAACAAAATGAAACAAGTCAAAACCAACATTTTCCTGGAGCCCACGTGAGCAGAGACTGGTGGCAAGGGTTTCCACGCCAGGCGGTCTGGGGGTGGGCCAGTACTGCCCCGCAGAATTCTGGGACCCTCACAAGAGGAGTCCCAGGTCCCTGCTCAGATGGTCACTCCCTTCTCAAGTGCCTAGAGAGGAAGGCGTGTCTTCAGGAGGCCAAGTTGGTTCCCAGGACAGCCAGCGGTTTCACAAGACAGGAAGTGCACAGAGCCCTGAACCTGGTCACCCGCACATTCTTCTGCTCGCGGACTTACGAAGGCTTTGTAAAAAATCGGGAGAGGGATGGAGAGCTAGACGAAATGCTCTACGTGAAAAGGGCCTGCAGAAGGTGGGTGGCATTCAGAGGAAGAGCAGCTTCCGGCATCATTCAGTCCCTTTGCGTCAGTACCTCCATCAATCCCCACGGTCCAGGGGCCAGGTGTAAGTCCTTGGAGCCCAGGACCCGGCTTCCCATGAGATGCCTGGGTTAGGGTGTCGCACTCTGCCTCCCGACCTCCTTGAGAGAACAGGACGTGGAAAACATGGGCCAAGGTTGCTCTTCTGATTCTGGAGATGCATTTGAGTTTCTATCAGATGCAACAGAAGAGGCCACAGGTGAGGAGCTAGAGAGGCCATCTGTGCTGGGGTGGCCCAGGAGTGGGCTCAGGGCTGCAGGAGGTTACTTTAACCAAGCGTGGGTTAAAGTAACTTTAACCCAAACATAAACTTACCCCAGTTCAGTTCCTGCTCTGAACTGGGGTAAGTTTATGTTTTGGGGAACATAAACCCAATAACAGGCCCCAGGGACCTTAATCAGCACTGCCAGGAAGATGCCCGAGGCCAGGCTGGGTTTTTTGGGGGGGATGGCGGTGAGAACGGGACCAGAGGCCTAAGAGGAGAGTCAGTCATGGGCTCTGCAGGCTGGAGGTGGAGGGCACCGGGAGCGAACAGTCTAGGAGGCAAGCAGGCCCTGGAGGTCTGGGAAGCCAGCCCAGGGTGGAGGCTGCAAGGAGGCTGAGTGGGAAGGAATGGGGGGCCCAGCAGACAGAGCAAGCGCCATCTGGATCCAGGGTGAGGGATGGAGCAGAGGCACGGCTAGCAGCAGGCCACCGACAGCAAGCAGAACAGGAGGAGGTGACCGAGACCCTGTGCGCAGCCGAGGACGGCGCAGCAACACAGCAGAGCTGGTCAGGGGACGCAACAGGATTGGTGAGTGGAGGGAGGGACAGAGAGGCGAGGAGGAGGAGAGACAGGCACGGGGGAGACAGAGAATGGCCAGGGTGATAAAGAGGTAGGCACAGGGGAAAGGGAGAGGGAGAGATGCGCAGCGCCCAGTGAGATGCTGGAGAACAGAGCGGAGAGCAGTCTGCCGAGGGAGCCCCCAGGGCTGGGCAGGTTGAGTGGGTCAGGAAGGGACACTAGGCCAGGTGGAGGGGTGGGCGGATGCTGGGTGTGGATCTGGGCTGGCAGAGGGCCCAGCTGGAGAGGTCAGCACAGGGCCCATGCATTTTAAATAGCCACCTTGGAAGAGGAGTGGAAAGACCCTGAAGGCCATGTGTGGAAGGCTAGGTCCCCAGCCTTTGGCACAATTGGTATGTGACACCAACTTCAGGATGTGGGGCCTACTTGGAAAAGGTGGGTCACTGAGGACATGACCTTGAAGGGCCCATCTTGTCCCTGGCCCCTCCTCTGTCTCTGCTTCCTGGCCACAGCAAGGTGAGCCGCTTGGTCCACAATGCCCTCCACACCATGGTGTCCTGCCTCACCACAGCCCCAAATGGGGTTTTGTCCCCGGGGCGGGGAGTGACTCATGCAGGCAGGCGTAACCGAAGCTCACCCGGAGACTGACCTGCCAGCTGGGGCCACAGGAGGACCCTCGCTTCCCGAGGACTTGGCCACTCTCAAATGCTCCTTGAGCCACCAGACACCGTGCTCAGCACTGGGGGCTGGGGTGGTTGAAATGTGTCCCCCAATTCATGTTGAAGTCCTGATGACAGGACCTCAGAACCTGGCTGCACTTGTGATCTTTAAAGTGGAAATTAAGGTAAAATGGGGTCACCTGGGAGGGTCCTGATCCAATCTGACTGGTGTCCTTACAGGAATCAGGTCAGGACACAGACAGGCACAGAGGAAGGACCCTGTGAGGACACCCTGCCCTCGGGCCTCCAGCCCCCGCGCTATGAGAAGCGGTTTCCTGCTGTTTCAGCCCAGCCTGTGGGCTCTGGCTCTGCCAGTGGCCCCGTACAGCATGCCAGCTCCAGCACGCCAGCCCCTGTTTTAGCTGTGTCACCTGCTCGTGGGACAGACACCCATGTGAGTGAGCAGCATCCCTCATGTGGCACTAGCCGTGGTCACCATGGAAACAGGCCTCGCGGGAGGCACGGGGCTTCTGGGCAGAGACCTACCGTCTGACACTGGGCAGGACTAAAATCGAACTGTGTTAGCGCATTGCTTGTCCTTACGCAGTAGAACCCCAGAAAGTGCCAGGGATGGATTGTCTGTGCTGAGCCGGCTGCTGTAGAAGGGGCCCCGAATAGGCGGAAGGCTCATCTGCCGCCCAGTCTCCCTGAAGAATGACCATCTGAGTGGCAAAGGCCTTCCAGCTGCCAAGATCCTTTCTGAGCTGATGCCGTGCAGCGCCCCCAGGCACGGCGAGGTGGTGGGTAACTCCGGCTCCAGGCAGCTCAGGACAGTGGCCATTCTCTGTCTCCCTGGGCTGTCCACAGTGAGCCACGCTGGTGGGTCGGAAAACCCAGCCTCACAAGACACCCGTCCTCTCATGGAGACAGTTGAAGACCAAAAGGAGGGTGCCCGCACTGGCCCAGCCCTGTGTCTGGGCAGCGGGCAGAGGTACCTGCTGTGCGGGGGACCCCCTGTGCTCAGCCCACCCCTCATCTTCCACAGGCGCCTGCCGCCGCCATGAGCTTCAGAGGGCAGTGCAGACCGCCTGGGAGAGGCAGGAAGGACCTCTCAGCGCAGCCCAGGGCTGGCAGCACAGCTAGGTGACCGGCCAGGGCTACAAGAGGGGACCACGCCATCCGCCTTCTGACCCACCCCATCCTCACTCATTTCAGCAGGGTTCTGAGCCCAGAGGACATGCACACAAGATCCAGGGTTCCGGGGCGGCGCCCTCTGGCGCTGCGTCCCGTAGATTGGATGGACAGCTGTGAAGAGGTATATCCTCAGCCTCTGAAAATAGCCTCCAGTCCCCCTCAGTGGCTTTCACAGGAGTGACACCCAGGGACAGGCAGCCACAGAGGCAGAGCTGCCCTCCATGTGTTGGCCCTTCATCCAGGAACAAGGACCTTGTTCCAGGTGAGCCCCCTCCACTGGCCCCTCCAGGCCTGCTCAAAGGCCTTCTCCCTCCACGCCACCCGCCCCACAGCCTCGGGCTCCTCGTCCTCTGGAGAGTCCTCCTGGACCCAGAGTCCATCTCCTAAGCCCTGTGTTCTGCTGCACACCGCCACCCTCCCACAGATTCCCCGGCTCCTTCCCCACCCCCAGGAACAGCCCAGCACAGGGTGGGAACCGCGGAAGGAACGATGAAGGGTCGACCCTGCTTCTCAGCAGACCGTTGGATGGCCAGGGTCAGCAGCGTGGGAAGAGCCACCGAGCAGAGCGGGGACCGCAGCTCCCGTGGGGGGCCCCGAGGAGGGTGCTGCGTGACCTGCAGCATGACTGTCTGTGCCCTGGGTGTTTAGACTGTTGTGAGTCAAATTCCATGTAAATAGATATTTCAGTTTGATCCTCTCGATTTTGATTGTGTGTGGAATAGACGTGTTGGCTTAGAATTTGTCACCATAACATGCAAAGTGCTAGAAAAACGATGGGGGGATAGCTAAAGCAAGGCTAAGAATAGAATCTAATTTATGCAAGTTGATTATACTTGTAGCAAGAGTGATAATTAGAGATATTTTGAAAAAAAGAAGAATCTGAAAGTAAAGATAATTGGAAGATTTATTTCTCCTAGGCTATTAGAGAGGGAAGAATAAGATCTTTAATTACATTAATAAGAAAATAATTATTGATAGTCACAAATAATGTCTCTCCTTGATTCAGGGAGGCCCATGACTTGCTGGAACTATCTAATCAATTTCAAACCTACAGAGGTTTTTTGATAATAAAGACAGCTTCTAAAGTGAATAAGCCAAACATGGCAAGACGAGGGGTGCTGCTCCCTTTATTAAATGTGAAGTGGGTGATTCTTAGCAGGCTGAGGAAGACCAAGCGCACAGAAGGGAAGTGGCAGGACTAGGGTCACCGCCCCAGCTCGGGGCTGGCCTGGGAGAGACCTGGGTGCCCTGGCCCAGAGGGTGGCCCTCCCTGCCTCGTGTCTCCCTGGAAACACCCGGCTCCCGGCTGGGGCTCATGGCACGTGGGAAGGGCCTCCCTCCTTCTCCCCCGCCCCCGGGTCATTGCTGAGCCCCTCCCTCAGCACTGGAGTGCCAGTCTGCACCCATCGCCTCACCGCGCACTTGCCCCGGTGACCGTTCCCACTAAGCCTGGCAGGAGGAGGCTTCTGGAAGGAAAGGCTGAAGCCCGCTGCCTTTGGGGGCTGTACCCTCTTCCAGCTCCAGCCTCCACCTGGCTCAGACCTAACTGCTGGGCCACCCACTCCTCAGCCTCCTGTTCCTTACCTCAGCTGTCCCTGCCCCAGTCAGCTCTGCCCACTCCTCCAGGTCAGCTCCTTCTCCAGCTCCTCCCCAGGGCCAGCTCTTCCTCCAGGGTCATCTCCTCCAGGTCAGCTTCTCCTCCGGGTCAGTTCCTCCTCTAACTTCTCCCCAGCACCAGCTGCTCCTCGGAGCCAACTCCGAGGTCAGTGTGCTAGGCAGCTCCTCCCAGCTCTAGGAGCATTCCCCTCCTGAAGGCCTGGTTGGTCCTGCTCCCCTGGGACTGGAGGCCCAGGTTCCCGAGGAGCAGGGAAGTTTCCTTGTGCATACAGACTCCCACAAAGCCATCTCCAAATTATTGACTCTGGCTCTCTGAGCAAGGGACGAGGACCGGGCTCCTCAGCACAGCGGCTGCCCCATCCCAATCTGGCCCAGCCACCTGGGCTGCCTCAGCGTCACCCGTCGCCCTCAGCCCCTCTCTCCTGACAAGCTCATCCTCATTCCTCGAGACCTCCACAGACGTCACCCTGGAAGCCTCGGGAGTCCCTGGAGGGCCGACGGCCCCGTGTCTATGCGGCCCACGATGGACACTTGCTGGTGGTTTTGTCCTGGAGAGAGAAGGTGTGTTTACCTATTTCTCTCCCACCAGACTCTGGGCTGCCCAGGGCTGGGACCTTACCTGACCCAGGTGGTATTCCCAGGCAGGTGAGGGCCTGGCACCAATAAATGCTTGAATGGAGGAACACACTTTGCCACAAGACAAAAATTCAATGAACCTTAAGAAACACACCGTAGGAATCGTTGTCGAGCAGTTGACAGGTTGTGGAAAGTTTAAAAATAGATGATAATTGAAAAGCGGAGAAAGCTGCACCCCCGTGTGCCAGGCCCCTGCCGAGCGCCCGGCAGGCCTCAGGGTCTGCGAGGGGCTCGGGCTCCTGCTCCCTGATGCTCTGGTTTGGAAGCATAGGGAAATTCGCCATGAAGGCTCAGGCCATGTTTCTGCCTCTTATTTGTTTTCCTCTCTGTACTGGGGATTGAGCCCAGGTGTCCTGCCTGCTAGACACGTGCTCCACCACCAAGAGGCTGCCCAGCCCTTGGCCTTTTGGTTTTTGTTTTGGGGGGTTTTGTTTTGTTTTGTTTTTTAAGACAGGATCTTGCAGAATTGCTGTGGCTGGGCTCAAACTTGCAATCCCCCTGCCTTAGCCTCCCAGGTAGCTGTTTTTATAGGTGTGTGTCACTACACCTGGCAGGCCATGTCTCTTCACAGTCGAGATACTTGTACAGAAGTCAAAGGTTCCTGTCTGTTTCAGTAGTGTTTGTGGGTGAATAATGAAATGGATATTTTGGGAGAATTGAAAGTCAGCCTTCTTACACCACCTTCCTACCATTTCTGGGAATTTGCAGGTTATACAGGCTAATTCCCCATTTTGCAGAGAAAGCACAAAATGAAACAAAATTTAAAAACTGTAAGACTGTCCAAAGCAATCCTAAACAAGAAGAGCAATGCAGGAGACACCACAGTACCTGATTTCAAACTATACTACAGAGGTGTAGTAACAAAAACAGTGTGGTACTGGCATCCAAGGAGACATGAAGACCAGTGGAACAGAATAGAAGACACAGAGACAAGCCCATAGTCGGTCACCTGACCCTTGACAAAGGTGCCAAAAACATGCATTGGATAAAAAGGAGCCTTTTTAATAACTGGTGCTTGGGAAAACTGGCTATCCACATACAGAAGAATGGAACTAGATCCCCGTCTCTCACCCTGCACAAAAGTCAAGTCAAAGTGGATAAAGACGTGGGAATGATGCCAGACTATTGCCCAACTGCTGGAAGAAAACCCAGGCTCAACACCCCAGCATATTGGCCCAGGCACCAACTTCCATACCAAGACCCCTAAAGCTCAAGAAATAAAACTGGAATCCATAAGTGGGATGGCATAAAACTTAAAAGCTTCTACACAGCAAAGAAAATGATTAGGAGCGTGAATACAGAGCCAACACAGAGGGAGAAATCTTTGCCAGCGTCTTCTACGGCAGTGGGTTAATATCAGAACAGGTGAAGAACTCAAAAAGTTCAACACACACACACACAATCAAGAAATAGGGTAGATCTAGATAGATATTTCTCAAAAGAAGAAACATAAATGGCCAAAAAAATCATCCAGTATCCTCAGCATCAGAAAAATGCAGATAAAAACTACATTGCGATTTCATCTCACTCCCATGGGAATTGCGGGCGTCGAGAACACGAATAGCAATGACAGCCAGCAAGGATGGGGGGAAAGCTCTCTTACACATGGATGGTGGAGCTGCAAAGTAGTACAGACACTGTGGAGATCCCTATGGAGAGTCTGCAAAGTCACAGGAACCACCCTGGGACCCAGCTGTCCCACTCCTTGGTGTTTATCCAAAAGATCTAAAATCAGCCCACTATGGTGACAGAGGCAACCCATGTTTACAGCAGCACAACTCAGAGAGTCAAGTGAAGGACCCGACGCTGTCCACAGATGAGTGGGTTGGGAAAATGTGGAGTTGGGCTCAGCCCTAAGGAAGAATCCAATCATGGCCTTCACTGTAACCCAGTGGCCCTGGAGAACATCATGCTGAGTGAAATAGGCCAGACTCAAAAGTTAACGGCAAAAGTTTTCTTTCATATGTGGAAGCAAAGAGAAAAGAAAAGAAAAGGAATTTTAAAAATGAATTTTGTGAAAATCGAAGGGAGAACAATGAAGTTGAGGAAGGGGCAGAGAGGGAGGGGGAGGGAGGACAGGGGGTACTGGGGAGGGGGAGGGAGGACAGGGGGTACTGGGGAGGGGGAGGGAGGACAGGGGGTACTGGGGAGGGGGAGGGAGGACAGGGGGTACTGGGGAGGGGGAGGGAGGACAGGGGGTACTGGGGAGGGGGAGGGAGGACAGGGGGTACTGGGGAGGGGGAGGGAGGACAGGGGGTACTGGGGAGGGGGAGGGAGGACAGGGGGTACTGGGGAGGGGGCAGGGAGGACAGGGGGTACTGGGGAGGGGGAGGGAGGACAGGGGGGTACTGGGGAGGGGGAGGGAGGACAGGGGGTACTGGGGGGGGGGAGGGAGGACAGGGGGTACTGGGGAGGGGGCGGGAGGACAGGGGGTACTGGGGAGGGGGAGGGAGGACAGGGGGTACTGGGGAGGGGGAGGGAGGACAGGGGGTACTGGGGAGGGGGAGGGAGGACAGGGGGTACTGGGGAGGGGCAGGGAGGACAGGGGGTACTGGGGAGGGGGAGGGAGGACAGGGGGGACTGGGGAGGGGGGGGGGGGACAGGGGGGACGGGGGAGGGGGAGGGAGGACAGGGGGGACTGGGGAGGGGGAGGGAGGACAGGGGGTACTGGGGAGGGGGAGGGAGGACAGGGGGTACTGGGGAGGGGGAGGGAGGACAGGGGGTACTGGGGAGGGGGAGGGAGGACAGGGGGTACTGGGGAGGGGGAGGGAGGACAGGGGGTACTGGGGAGGGGGCAGGGAGGACAGGGGGTACTGGGGAGGGGGAGGGAGGACAGGGGGTACTGGGGAGGGGGAGGGAGGACAGGGGGTACTGGGGAGGGGGAGGGAGGACAGGGGGTACTGGGGAGGGGGCAGGGAGGACAGGGGGTACTGGGGAGGGGGCAGGGAGGACAGGGGGTACTGGGGAATGCAGCGACCAAACCATGCCGTGTCCTTGTGCCAACACACCACGTGGAACCCTGATTTTTTGTGTATCATGAATTTCTAAGACTCCAGCTTCGACTTAGCCTGGCTCGGGGTCTTCCTGAATGGCCACCCTGCCCAGCCCAGGACACCTCCTACAGGTCAGAGGTGCTCTCTAACAAAAGGCTGCAGATGTCAGAAAATGACAATCACTTGGACTTACTGGCACAGCCCTCCCTTTAGAAGGGAAGAACATTCTCTCCATCTGGGCACTTGGGGATTTTAATACTTAAAAATATCTGCAGTCTCCAGGATTGACACTCCCAGCTGACACGCAGACTGGCGGCAGCCCTGCATCAGGGCCTGCAAACCGCCGAGGCTCAGGGCTGAGGCCAGCAGGAAGCTCCTGAGTCTGCCTGGCTGGGCAGACCTTGGAGGACCCTGCTGAAGGCCCCCAAGGGACCAGCATGGGCTAG